AGCATCATTTCCGATTTCAAACAAAATAGAATAGCATCATTTCTAACATCACACACAATAGTATAGCATCATTTCTATCTTCAAACACAATAGTATAGCATCGTTTCTAACATCACACACAATAGCATAGCATCATTTCCGATTTCAAACAAAATAGAATAGCATCATTTCTAACATCACACACAATAGTATAGCATCATTTCTAGCTTTAAACACAATAGTATAGCATCATTTCTAGCTTTAAACACAATAGTATAGCATCATTTCTAACTTCAAACACAACAGTATAGCATCATTTCTAACATCACACACAATAGTATAGCATCATTTCTAACTTCAAACACAATAGTATAGTATAAACGTTCTACAACTGGCAGTATGAATACTTAATATTGAGCTAGATTACTCTTCACTCTTTGTCAAGTTGACACCCAGCTGCGAACGTTCGCATAGCTGACATTCTTTGAAGCTTCTTTTCTCTGTATTGTGAGAGTTAACCGATTGGGTCAATACGTTAAGAATGTCGTGGGTAAAAGCCCGTTGAATAGTTCTTGTCATCTCATAATGTGAATTATGGAGAAATCAAGCGAGAACTATATTATAGAAATTTTTCTTCTGGTGTGACAACGAGCAGCAGTGGTATTTGTGAATTAATTATTTTGGTGGATTTATAGCCGAATCGTTTATTTTTGTTGTTGTTTTCAAAACGACGAAGCGGTATAATAGTTTTATGCCTCATAACTATGATCTACATTGCGTGTTTTTTGCTTAGAATTCTTTATGAATATTAATAAGCTTGGATCTTTGTCCTTATCTCCTTAGTATTTCACTCAGATGTTCTGAATGTTCATTTGAATTAATTAAATATATTATTCGTTTATACAGTGACCAATATATTTTATCAGACTCATGTGCATTCTTGCTGAGAGTGATCCTTCTTCAATCTAGTAAAACATTTTTTTTCTGTATTAGCTCTTGATGTATTCTTGCTCTTATTTATGAAATACAGAATAATCCTTTGTAATAACGAGGGCGTTTTTTTGGCGGCGTATTTAATTGTCTTGTCTCAATTTCAAAACCGTTTAGTTAGGGTGAGGCGTGGCTTTATGAGTAGGGATGTGGACTATAGGTACAAGGTTCTTACTTTAAGACCGCTGAACGCGCTTTCAGTGACCTTCAATTCCATTGTACGGTATAAACCCAGACAAAGTCATTATGGCTGCCTTGTAATCTACCAAATTTTTATTAAAGTCTTCATATAAGCAGGACAAGAAAAGAGCGAGGATTGAGAGTTTATGATGTGTTTGCTCAATAGCTTCTGAATATTGAATATATTTTAGTTTATATAAATATATATATACCACACACACACACACACACACATATATATATATATATATATTACAACATTTTAAGGCAATTACTTCTTGAAATCATTATAATGTTTTGCTTTATTTGACCAGGATGTTTGGACAGATGAAGCTGGTTACATATCAGTTGACTACCACGACGACTGTTCCCTGATGGCACTGAGAAGAAGAGATCACATCACACACTTTGTCTTCAGCCGCAGATTTGACACTTGTGATGTCCAAGATTACGTGATCGAGGTACCAAAAACTGCTGTGACAATGTTTCTCTAAAATAAAATACAAATTAAAGTGTTTCTTTATGAATTCGTGAAGTTATTTTGATTTTATTTATACTCTTACGCTACTTGGTAGTTAGACAAACTATCCTAACCTCATTTTAAACCAGAGTGTGTTGACTAGCTTAATGACATTTGACCTATACAGAGCCTCAGAGGGAGGCAGTGTTGTTGGAAATTTTACTTAAATATTTTAATGTAACAGAAAAATCTTAAATAATCAAAATACTTTTTTTTTTACAGTTTCCTAGTCATTTTTATCTAACTTTGCTCAGCTGGTACTAACCTTTATCTATAGCTTTACTTTGTCTTCAGATGTCACAGATAGAGAAAGATAGTTAAAGCAAGGAAACCCAGGCACTCGTCTCAAAGAAAATTTGTTCCGATTGTTTTTCGCAACCAAATTTTTGGATACTCAAAAGAATGTCATACCTGAAAATCGTTTTATTGTTATTTAATTGTGAATTAAAGTAGACATTTTCTGATTGGTTAGGACAAACAAAATATTAGGCAGCTTTACATAATACTCTACTAATGTAATGTGTAAAAACTGGTACGGGAGCTTTTCAAAATCTACACACTGTACCAAACTTACAGCCACGCTGTAATATCAATAACATAGCAATAATGCAAGGTGTTTCCATTACAATATCAAAATAGAGATGAAATAGAACACTTTCTTACAAGTCTCGTAAAAAGTACAATTTAAATAAAAGAACGCAACAGTAAAATATTCATTAATGTAACATTTTATACTGATACATAGTTTTTATTTTTAAGTTAACACCATTTATCAGTCTTTATCGAGAAAAAGGTCAATAATTTAATAATTAGAAAGAGTTAAAACCTTAATTATTAACAGAATGTTCAGAATGTGTTACGTTTAATTTGGAATTAACTTGGAATCTAACTGGGATATTTTAGGTGAAATAACATAATACTTTTAATGAACAAACTTTGTGAAACTAAACTACTGCAAATTAATGAAAGTTTGGTAAAAATATATATATTGAAAACGTATATAGATAATATCACTTAAAAGCTCATCTAATTTTAAATGACTTAATTTTACGAAGTTGGAATATTTATATATTTATTTTAAGCTCTTCAGTCAACAATGCGATTAAAGTAATTCAAACAGGAAGCCTGGTGAGTGAATGAAGATAAATGTTTTAATTATTCATAGGTTTGTTTCCCAGTTTCCGGGTATTAGCAGAATACTAATCTAGGAACTTAAATTTTTTAGGATGGTACGACCCACGTGGTCTACGCAACAGGAAAAGGACCTTTGCGGAGACTGGAAGGACTTCGTCTCACGAAAGAAGAACATGATTTCCAAAGAGTGCAGTTGCTAAAAATTTTAGATCCGCCACCAGCTCTACCCGAAAGCACCAAGATCTTTTCAGTCACGAACGACAAAGTAAGCACTCGCTTTAAGTTCGTTTGGTTTGAATTTCACGTAAAGCTACACGAGGGCTATCTACGCTAGCCGTTCCTAATTTAGCAATGAAAGACCAGACTGAAGGTAGCTAGTTATCACCACCCATCGCCAACTCTTTTACCATCGAACAGTGGGATTGACCGTCACATTTAACGCCCCCATGGCTGAAAGGGCGAGCATGTTTGGTGGGACGGGGATTCGAACCCGCGACCCTCAGATTGCGAGTCGAGCGCCCTCTAATCACCAGGCCATGTGAAGCCCTAACCATGTTGAATCCAAGTCTCTCTTACCTTCATTGAATATAATTGTTGTTGTTTTTCATCATTTTTGTGCAAAGCTACACAAAAAGCTATCTGCACATAGTTTCTCTAATACTGAACTGATAGACAAGAGAAAAGGCAACTAGTCAACAGCACCCTCCGCCAATTTTTTTACTTCTTTTGTCTGACCGAATAGCTGGCTGTAACCGTCACTCTTATAGCGCACTTACAGCTCCAATATGCGGAGAGCGTTTTTGCGGCCACGGGCCGAGGAACATAATTTTCGGATTCATTGTCCTAGCAAGTTAACCGCTTAACTTCGTTCGGTTCTCTTTATTTAAAACTCGAATCTTTATTACTTCATTTCCTTATTAGCATCCGTATTTGTTTACAACATCCATTTTTTCTAAGTATAACCCGAATCTTTATTATCTCATGTCCTTATTAGCATCCCTTTGTCTGTATTACATACAATTTCTTTAAATAGATTCCGAGTTTTTACTACCTCAAATTCCTTCAAATATAATCCAAGTGACTTTTACCCTTCTATTGTCTTTACTCAGATCCCGAGTTTCTCTCACCTCCATTTAATTTAATTCACGTAATTATCCCATGTCCTTATTATCATCCGTTTGTCTGTATTACATACAATTTCTTTAAATAGATTCCGAGTTTTTACTACCTCAAATTCCTTCAAATATAATCCAAATGACTTTTACCCTTCTATTGTCTTTACTCAGATCCCGAGTTTCGCTCACCTCCATATAATTTAATTCACGTAACCTAACTTTCACAGTTGTAATGTTACATTATTTCTTTTCACGTAGAGGAAATAAAAGTAGAATATACCTGTACGTTTAAAGGAGTCAAATCAAAAGACAATGAAATATTGGTTCTTAACGTGAATTAAGTTTCAATTGCTCACAGTCTACTATGAGTTTTGTACATAATGATTGTGTCAAAATTATTTCCTTCTACTTGACAGGTTCAAGTGCCAGATTTGGAGACAACCTACTGGTGTAGCTTGCACAAGCTACCAGATGAATTTAGTGATAAACATCACATTGTTAAGGTAAGGTATTCGGATATAGAATTATCTCACAGACAAACGTTTTTCTATCTATGAATCTTGTGTTTTAAGAAATGTGTCATTATGCTAAATATCTATAATGACGTTATGTATAAAAACGTGCTGTACACCTCAGTGTATCGGTAACTTTCATATTATACACTTGATTGATGTTCCATCTTTAATATTTCACTGGATGTTATTATTAAAACTAACCCCTGATCAGATTAAAACTTAAGCGAAAAAGTCATATACAAAATGAGCAAATAAAGAAAAAAATAAAAATATATATTGGAACTGCTTTAGCTATAGTTTTCAGACTTTAGTTAGGTGGCGTGATGAGTACTGAATAGTCTGCTTTAAGACACAAAAAGAATATAACAGATCACTGTTCTGGAATACTGAAAGCGATGAACACAGCATAAGTCTCTGCCTCATCTGAGCTTTAAATTCAAGTAACGAGATTAACAGCAACTGTATACCAAAAATTTATAACTAGAATACGGTTGCGTCTTACTTTTTTTATGCATTCTGACCCTATTCAGTCAGTTCCTTCATCCAACCCTTTCTCATTAAATGTGTCCAATATCCTGACTCTATTCTGTCGGTTTCTTGGTAGCACCCAATACTTTTTCATTAACTATTCTCAATTTTAACACAAAGTTTTTGAGAAAACTGGTTCACACAATTCCGAAAACATATCTCCATCAAGTGCGAGTGACAAAAGAAGAGTTTTAAATTTTAAAACTTTAATGAATGTTCCCGTACAGTGAAGAACGTACAGTTAGCTTCCCATTTATTAAATTAAAAGTCGAATCCTTTAAGATAGTACCCAAAATGTATTTCTACTGTCTATTACAAGAAACTCTTCACAATCAGATTACTGGATTATATTTCAGCATGTTCCTGGTAGGTAAATTATTAGTGTTGAACAGCATGCTAAGGGATAAAGTAATGCTTTTGAACAAAATTTAACTTTATAAAGTCATAAAATCCTTATTTTAAACTTATTTAACAGAATACTGTGTGCATATCTTCCAGTATGAAACAGACATCCAGCACGGCAACGAGCCAGTGGTTCACCACATGGAGGTATTTCACTGCGAAGTTCCTGACGACTTGGAACTACCTTACTGGAATGGTCCATGTTTTGATAAGTCTAAGCCCACTATACTGGAAACCTGTAAGCGAGTTCTTGCTGCGTGGGCTATGGGAGCACCGGTAATAGTTTAACATGCTAGAAATATATGAACACCTGAGAAACAATATTATCTCTTCTAGGCTCTTTCTTCTCAAAAAATAAGAAGTATACAAATGGTTAGTTGATTTAATGTTGTTGTTAACCTGCTTACTCATTTATGGTCCAATCTATATTTTTATTATAGCCATTTTACTACCCAGAGGAAGCAGGACTTCCCATTGGAGGAAATAACTTTTCTCATTACGTCATGTTGGAGGTCCATTACAACAATCCAGAACAACGAGATGGTAAACAATGATTTCTGTTCAATGCCAAAGTATAGCTTCTAAGCGTGAGAAAATTTTATTCTTTTGTTTTTGTTTCTAAAGTAACAAATTCTTATGCTGCTTTTTCGTAACTGGAAATCAGATCTGTTTGAAGGTTTACTGGTTAAAATCAGATCTGGATGAAAGTTCACTGTATGCTAAAGACAATCCATATGTGATCGTCAATATGCATAAGTTAAAATGTATAAATAAAATGTCCGATGCTACTTAGGTTAACAACAGTTAGCCATTTTGAATATCCATAATAATACAACGATCAATTTACAATAGTGTACTTTTTCTGATAAGACTAAAAAGTTTTCTTTTAGCGTTTTAAACATAATTTTTAATACATATCTTATTGTCTCTCTAGCTTTCTTAAACAACCTCACCCATCCAAACACTTCATCATATCACCTATTTACTTGCAAGTTTTCCCAACACACAATTTCAGCTAGTTTCTTTATCTGATCACTGTCTAGTTTGGAAAATCATTTGTGAAAACTTACAAAGAAAAATCAAGCTGTACATTCACGTATAACCCCATGATGTTTTAGTACTTTTTTGTAATTTAATACCCAGGAATAGAAATACAGATCTTTAATAGAATCAACTAATTAAAATAACACATAATAAATGTCTTTTTTATTTGGTTAAGCGCAAAGTTCCACAATAGGCTTCCTGCACTGCACTCACCGCAGGATCGAACCCCGAATTTCAGAGATATAAATATTCAAGCATAACGATGAGCCACCGGGGGCAATAAATGTTATTTTTTTCATTCCTAGAAGTTGAATTATTAATAATCGATTATCTTCTCAGGAATTGATACAATATAAAGGAAACTTGTGAAACAAGATATAAACTTTACTTTAAATACATTAACATTTGTTTACGGTATTACAGTATCCTCTTGTAAAGAGAGCCGAGAAACTTTCAGGTTTTTTGTAATATTTTCTTGTGCACAAAATATATATAGTGCTGGATGTAATTTCTATGTCTGAATATGCTAAAGTCTCACTGTTTGCTAAAATTACTCATCCACTTTTACTCCATGCCCCTCAGTGGTCTTGTGGTATCTCTGTGGATTTATGTTATTGGTATGTTTGAAACCGTGTTTCGATACCCCTGGTGGTGTAGCTTTGTGCTTACTAATAAACAACAACAAAACAACTTTGACTCCATTTATATAATTCAATTGCAATAACTTCTGATGAATACAATTCATTTCATTTTTTATAGTTTGTGCACTTTTTTCTATGTAACTGAAAATAATATTTCTGAAGAAGTTCTGTAACACAGAAAGATTATAATTTTGTGAAAAACCACATCTATTATTGTTTTTCGACGTCAAAAGCCTTTGAAACACAAGACATTGAGAAATATAAATTTTATTTGCACCAATAAAAAAAAACTGGAAAGTATAAGATATCTAGAGACATGTTTTATTCATCAAGTATAAAACATAGAGAATAAACAAGGCTTGCACTTGTATTTTGAATGTATTTTTGATTGTTTAAAAAAGTTTTAATTTTTACCCAGGTTTATTTGGTTCTACGTCCTATCTGCGTTGTGCAAAATTTCACAAAACTTTTATAAATTGAACCACATCTGCAGCTAAATTATGACGTCTTACCTTTTTTCTTCGTAGACTGGGTAGACAGCTCTGGTATGCGTCTCTTCTATACAAACGACTTACGCCCTTACGATGCCGGAATAATAGAAGTAGGCCTAGAATACACCGACAAAATGGCGATTCCTCCAAGGCAACAAATTTTCGAGTTAAACGGCTACTGTGTAGCAGAATGCACAAGAGCGGTAATCTTTCGGTTTGCGTAAATACTTTCAAGACTTTAAATATATTATGTATTTGTTAGGAATCTCGGGAAATATTTTTCCTGAGGAATTAACAGAATCTCATTTCATAGCATTGTTTTATGAATTCCTCTAAAATTCCATATACAAAATATTCGTTTTTTTCTGATTCTGTAAAATGTTTAACTTTCTGACAATATTAATAAGAAAAATAATACTGAAAATTTTGTCAAAAAATCTTGTTAATATTCAGTACTGACGTATATAAGACAAATTGTCTTTTCCAATTTTAAACATTATTGGTAATCATTAGAAATGCAGGTTAGGGTTTGAAAATAAAAGATGGGTTCGTTCCTATATGTTAATAGATAATAAGGTTGGTTGATAAAATAAACTTAATGTAATATATTATGTTAATTCTTCTAAAAATATAACACAGTATGCACTAGAATAATTTACCTTTTAGGGTCTTCCTCCAGAGGGAATCACAATCTTTGCCTCTCAGCTTCACACTCACCTAACGGGCACAAGAGTATTGACTAAACACTCGCGAGGAGGAGTCGAACTTCCAGAATTGAATCGGGATAATCATTATAGCACCCACTTCCAAGAAATTCGTTTTCTGAAGCAAAGAGTACAACTTTTCCCGGTAATTAATTTTTTTAATGTTATGAACAGGAGCAACGTTTCTGTTTGTTTTTTCTTGCAAAAGCAATAACATTTGATTGAGTTTTACAAGACTTGTATAGTTTATTGTGTGTCCCGTAAAGACAGCCATAGCAATTGTCAGCATAACTTATGTTTCTCCCTCTGCTCGGATCGTAGTAGAACGGCGTTTTGTTCCGACATTTTTTGGAACCTTTTTGACAATAAATAAAAAATAATTTTACTACAAACTGTATTTGAATTTGACCACACACACAAATGCTGTAAGATATTATGGTTCAATTCCCCCCATAAAAAAATTTATGGTTTCGTAGATCCAACTGTACTGTATTTGTCTTCCTTGTTAAGAAATCCCCACAAACAGAAAATAAATGCGTACTATATTTGCCTTAGAAGAAGATGGTACACAAAAGTCCTGCTCTAACTGGGATAATCTTTGGTAAACGTAGTTCATTAGTTCTGTTTAAACAGTACTGTAAATGTCAAGTTTTTTGAGAACAATATTCAAAAGTGCAAAATGAATTTAGGCAGCTCTGACTTAAAAACTATGAAAATCGTGTTTTTTTTTCTAAGGTTGTCTCAACTAAAACACTACCTTACTCTCTTCAAGATTTTATTGGAATGAAGACAGCCCCACCTCTTTGATCACCTCATTAGTTTTGCGATATTAACAACGGATAAAATATTGAAATACAGAAAAATGTCTTCCGAACAGAAACAAAACTTTTTCAATGTCGCTAGTTTTTAAACATTTTTCCTTTTAGTTTCTATTTCTTTACCTTATTGTTTTGATTTTTCCCTTTGTATTCTTCACCAACTAAAAAAAAAAACCACCGGTAGAGGTACGTTATTTTTAATCAATCTTTTAACTGTTGTTGAACTGAAGTAATGTGTTCTGGCTCTTCTTTTTTATCGGAACTCGAGCTGGCTTTTCCTTTTCGTATTAACTAATCTTTAAAATGGTCATGCATGTGTTCATGGGAAAGCATAGATGTAAACCTTACACGATATTGAAATTTAAGGTGGCGAAAATTGCTTATAGGAAAGACCTACCAAATTTGCTTGCAGTTTTGAATTAACATCATTCAGAAATATAAAGGGAAACCTTGAATTGCTTACTTCATTTTCTGCGAACACAAAGAACTAATTAAATTAACAAGTAATTAGAAATGGCGATGAAAATTAATAAACGACATCGTCGATTTTCATTTAATATTGTATTCCTGAAAAGTTTGTAGGGTATTGAAAATTACTTAACCAAAAATTCTTGTTTCGCCTTCACTCTATTTATTATAAGACACATGCCCCACTGAACCACTATAAGTGAGAGCTGTCATTGAGGCCGATTTCATTTGTTTTTTTATCTTTTGGAGTTCTTCGTTTGAATAACTTGACTCCTTAATTCTTTTTACCTCATTTTTAGGGTGATGCTTTGATAACAACTTGCCGTTACAACACTACTGATCGTGAAAATATAACACTGGTAAGTGTAAATATTAGAAACAGCGAAGAATGAAAGGAAATTGTATTTAATCATTAATCACATATTTATCAAATTTTTCACAACCTGATTAGATATTTTAATATTATTAAATGATGTAAAAACTATAAATACCAAATCATTAAATAACACTCTTCAGATGCATTTTGTAATGATTTCAAATCTATCTGAAATAACTCTATGGTATGGGAGTCTACCATCGCTGGTTGAAAAAGTCATCATGGTTAGATGTTGATAATGAAAATAATTAATCTGCCGAAAAAATTTTCATATTTTATTATACTTTTATCTCACAACAGATGCCAGGTTCTTCTGGGGGAATTTTTAATTCTTCTTATAATTATCTTTCATATCGATTTTCCTATTCCGACCTTTTGACGTGCCACTTGATGTTCGAAATGTGTGTTCGTACTCATTAAATATATTTCATGTCAATTACTGTAAAGCTAACTTCCTTCATTGCTTGCTATGTTAAACAAACAGCCTCCAGAAAGTTATTGCTGTTAGATACCTCATGCCACACGATCGTTTGGAGCATAATTCAAGCGTTACTCCATGGCAATACCTGTTTTATATTTATAGTTTAAATTACTTGGAGACATTGCACGAACAAACTCTATTTTATATAATCTCTTGTACTTTATCGTTTGTTTAAAAATACAAACAAACCATATTTTGTCTTATTTTTTTTTAGAAATTTGTATCGATTATACTAGTAATAAGTTTCCACGCTTATTAATTTCTTTGTTTCAATTGTTTGTTTGTTGTTAAGCACAAATCTACAGAATGGACTATTTGTATTGTGCTCACCACGGGTATCAAAACCCGGTACTTATCTATTAAGTCTTAAGGCTTAATGTTGAGTTAACGGGGGGAGCTTTTATTTTAAAGTTATTATTAGAATAAGAAGTTCATATTTAAATTAACAGGTAGATGTTAAGATGCTTTTTAATAGTCAACAAAGGGCTTTAATATTCTATGAAATATAGCCCCATCAGGTAAAGACTGTCTTGTAGGGAAGACAATTTTGTCACCAAGCGTGACTTTTTTCTTAATTGCAGTTATATCGGAAACTCCAGAATCGTAGTTGATAGTTGATCAAATGTGATGTTAATATCAGGGTAATATTCTGATTTATATTTTACCAATATACTATCATATACATTAAGTTACACGTTATTTCTAATTGCTACAAATCTGGGATTGACAAACTAAAAATATGAAAAACCTGATTTAAGAAAAACGCCAGTCTCAACCTATATCTATATGTGTGCATAAATTTTTTTTTATTTTGTAGAGGGCAACAGCTGTGATTGAATTATACTTATTTTACAAAAGCTCTTGTATAATTGAGAAACAAAAATCCATGTATGATATTTTGACCCACAGGGAGGGTTTGCCATCAGTGACGAAATGTGTGTCAACTATATGCACTACTTTCCTAAGACTAACTTGGAGGTGTGTAAGAGTTCAATTGACACTCAAGCCTTACAGGCATTCTTCGGTTACATGAACGAGTAAGTTTTAATGGAAATTTCTTTAGAAAATACAGAAAGAAAGTTTTAAAATAAAATGTTATTCAGTTTTATGCTGTTTGGTGTTGAAACTTTCAGTACAACAGAGGGTTGAGTAAATTATTTTAAAACGGTTTCGAAGCCTCACCACGTTTGGCTATGTTTTGTCTGATGACCGTGCATCTTGAAAATAGCCCTGCAGTGCAGCTCCATTCCAAAAGGTCGTAAGGAGGCTGTCATGTCCAAAGCACACCACATCTCACTGAAGTTCTTCCATAATCAATTTAGCGTATGAGAACGACGGTTGTCCAGTGCCCGTTTCAAAAATCAGATTGCACAGAAATCCATAGGCGCTGCTTCAAGCAATTTGATCGATATGCCTTCGTATATAATAGCATGAACAAACGTTTCAATCTATGGCTGCTTCAAGTATGCGAAGATTGAGCGGGAGATATGAATGGAAGCCTTATTTTGGTAGAACCATATCCTGTTGGCCTCATTTCCAGACATTCTTCTTGATTATGTTTTGCATTGTTACCTGGAACACGTGAACGGCTATTGCCATTGAACTTTGTGTTCGTGAATTCTCACCTGTTACAAAACGCCACAATTTGCTATGATAAGCTGGCGTACGACTCGTTGTATGTTTCTTTCTAGATGGTACTGGTGCCCCAAAGTGATCCACATTTTTTGTTTCCCAATGACATTAAGTAAAAGGGATATCCAAGTATTGGAAATTCTAAATCCCCCCATCTAAACATATTCTTACGATCTGATTCTATGAATATTTTGCGTCATAACCCTCCCAAAAGCGATCAGTTTTCGGTGGCACCACATTAGCTACAACCACCAAACAGTGCAATGTAGTTCTAATACATCCCGTTTCACCACGACTTTTTATCGCCTATTGTTGTCACATGACTTACTGATTTACTAATTCAAAATCGTTTTAATATAACGTACTCAACCTTGTATGTAGTCACGTTTATTATGTAAATATTCCTTACATTTCATAGTGAGACTGAAAATAAATATTAAAATTAAAATTGAAAAGTTTACATGTTAATTTTTCAGAGTTCAAACTTATATATGGCTTGCATTAGATAGTCTAAAATAAAACCTAGTTCGTCGATAAGGTATTCACCCGTAAACCTGCATTTGTTTTCATTTTGAGTGGCCTTTGGCTAACTTTAATAGAAAAATATTATGAAATTTGAATGTGTTATTGTTCTATAAACATATTAACATTCTAGTTAAAATGGACTCATTATTGGTTTCATGTTATCAGACATTTTTCCACATATTATTATATATAACCGAGAATTACTTTAAGCATTTCTGAATCCAGGTCTTTCTGTACAGTGGTTTATCAAAGCTACTGTCCCATATTTACTTTGACTTTCTTTGAAATAGGCTTAGTTATGAGCATAATTGGTAAGCCTGCTATTTCTATTTATATGGGCGTCATTTAATAAAGTTTTTTTTAAAATAATGAATCCAGCAATATGTGGTTTGTGGGGCCCTTTTTCAATATACAATAAATCAACCAAATATAAAAATTTCTCAACTTTACCTGGTTCCTGGGAACAAAAAATGCCTATCATGAAAGGGTTAAGGTAGTATTGAAGTGGGTTTAATGCTGCAATTAACCCAAAGGGAAATCATATGTTAGGTTTAAAGCACTGTTTATAAAGGTTGTACGAAAACTTCAGTAGTATGTGGAGTTACTTTTGAAAAACTGTTAGCTAGATTGATGTAAGGTATTATTGTGTGCTATATATGTTGATGCTAACGCATGTAATGATTCCACATGATATTAGGTACCACGACGAAGCCACAGCTCTTGACAGCAGCGTGCATGAAAACTATCATGCTATTCATTGGAGTCAACACAACGCCAACTTCCTCAACAAGCTCTACCAAAGTGCTCCTATATCTATGCAGTGTAATCAATCGTCCGGTGATAGATTTCCTGTAGGTGGCTAAAAAATCATTATTAAATAATTCGTGTTTAAAGCACTATATATATAGGCTTTAAACTTTGTAACGAAGTTTTCTATTTTTTATCGTTTTTAGTTATGCATCATTGTATTCTGTTTTCCACAATACCGTTTAATTGCAATTCACGTTTTCTATTTTCAAGCCATAGCCTAGTGGTTAAAGTACTCGGTGGGTGCTGTTGACTAGCTGCTGTCCGTCTTGTCTATTAGTTCAAAATTACGGACTGCTAGCGAAGAAATAATTGTGTCAAAGTCACAGAGAATCCAAGAGAGCGTGCTTGAAAGAAATATTCATTGTGAGATTATTTGTTTATTTGAAATATTTGCGCAAAGCTACATATGGGTCATCTGCACTAGTCACTCTCTCCCAGATTTGGACTGATAGATGAAAAAAAAAGACAACTAGTCAAAAGTACCCACCGCTAACTTGAGGAATAATTTGACTGAATAGTGGGATTTTACCATCACTCTTATAACACACTCAATGCCTCAAATTGCGTTAACACTTTCGCGCCAAGGGGACGCGAACCATGGACGGATCTACAGATTCACAGACCACGTTAGGCCAATTTGACCAAGCCTTGTTTAGTTTTGTGCAAAAATTCTCCTTAAAATAACAAAAACTATTTTTTCGTTACGTCTTTTAATTATACTCAGTTACTTACCTGAAGCTTTAATGTTTATATTTTTATAATCTCTCTCAACTTTATATTGATGTTTTTCTTGCTTTATAAACCCAAAAGTACCTGTTTTTTGTTGTTGTTTTTTTTTGTTATATTTAACTTGAGTCTTTTTTGAGTGTAGCAAATGATGTCAGATCGCTAGAAATATTTATTTTTACTATCAATTTACTGTAGGATTCTCTTTAAAGAAATTTTGGAGATATCATGAGATAATTCAATTCGTAAAATGGTTCTTTGGTAGAAATAAAGGCCCGTTTGTAACTATTTAATGTAATTTACTGGAAGTAAAATACTGGCCTTGCATTTTGTTTATATACTTTCATTTCTTTTACTTTAAGGTTACAATTATACCCGTTATTTACCTTACATTACGTTTTCTAGGGCTACTGGAATGGTGTCCCAATAACCGAAATTCTGTATCCTCTTCCTCCAACTCCCAGATCTTGTGGCGATAAGGACGGCAAAGAAGGCATTCTCTCTGAAGTTTAATGCGTTTAAAGTTTCGTTTCCCCAACAATGACAACATTAACACTTGAACATGAAGATTCTCTGTAAAAAAATAAAGTTAAACCTTTTATCATGTAATGAAGAATGATAATAAATCAAGTTTCAATGTGAATATGACGAACTCTTTGGGGTGGTTTGTGTTCTTTCAAAACGTTGAAAACAAATAAAAATGACATTACAGTTAACTTTATCTCTTTCCTATACATATGTGAAAAAAAAACGTATTCGAATAACCAGTTTAGGTCCTGGCGAACTGTTCGACATGTTTTCATTTTTTCAAAAGTTATTCTGAACTTGAACAGGATTCAATTAAATCTGCTTCAGTATACATTAACAAAATACTTTTATCAACTTTACAACCTAGCTTTGAATAACGACCGATTTAAACTCATGTTCAAACTTGATGAGAAAATATTCTTACCAAATTAATAATCTACTTCGAATAGCGCCTGATTCAATCTTACGTTCGTAGAATATGATTATTAAGTTAGTAATCAAGCTTTGAATAATGTCCGACTCGAACCCAGGTTTCTAATAAATGAGAAAAATGTTCTTATGAAATTATTAATCTAGCTTCGACTTCATCCCTGTTCTGCTAAATGGGAAAATATTCTTATGAAATTAGTGATCTAACTTTAAACAGAATTTAATTCTTTGTCTCTGTCAAACCGAAAATTATTCCAATTATCTAATTGAATTCAAGATAATAAAACCCCTAGCACGTTCGTTAGGTAGACTTTTCTTCTTCAGGGGTAATGGCTGAAATGATTGAGCGGGAAAGAACACAGGTCAACCTGTCTTGAACGCTAGGTTTATTATTATTATGTCATCCGCAGAGACACATACAGTTTATTATTGTTTCTTCTTCAAAACACCTTTCAATCGATCTTCATTCTTCCATTTCTCGGTAGATTGACTTGAAATTTGGTGAGGTTATACCTTGGTCCAATACGCCCAGAAACTTTTTCAAATCTGTTTTAATTTAATCTTTTTTTAAGGATTTTTTGGAATCAAAGATCAAACAACCCAAAAATGTAAATTTTGGGCTCCTGTGCGGTCATATTTACAGCAATCAAGATGAATATTGGCACAAATACCAATTTCCATGCACCCAACAATTGACATACGAAAAGCCGAATTTGCCTATTTTGAGTGTTTTTAGATCAGAGCTCACCAAAAGGCATAATTTTGGGGGTTTTGGTCAATTACTCGGCCATATTTTGACTGATTTATAAGGGATTTGGTACAAAGATAATTTTTCTACAGGCAACATATATTGATAAACAAAAATGGTGGACTTGCCAATTTTTAGTAATTATTAGGGGGTCAAGATGCCACAAAAGGCATAATTTTAGGGTTTTTTGACAATTACACCACTGTATTTCGGCCAATTTACATAGGATTTGGTACAAAGATACTTTTTACGAATTTCATACATACAAAAATGTGATAATGCTAATTTTTAGTCATTTTAGGAGGTCAAATGGTTAAATAAACCCATGATTATAGGAGTTTTGGTCAATTACTCTGACTTTTCTCGACGAAGTTACATGGAATTTCGTATAGGCAACACTGTGACAGATTTATTATTCTATATTTATTTTAATATTGATGTTTGTTTAAATTAAATATATATTTGGAAATGTATATAACGTATACTGTT